GGAGTAGGAGTAGTAGCAGCAGCAGGAGTAGTAGTAGTAGTAGTAGTAGTCGAAGAATACAAGCTACAGATCAGCCACCTGTAAACTACGCACCGGCGATGGGCTTTCAATTCTTCTTAAGGTAGTTAAGCCAGATCCAGTAGGAGCCGGGCCAGAGTTGATCTGTAGTATCCTACACCAGTGGCAAGGGGTAGGGGTAGTCGCAGTAAGCCTAGACATATAGTATTTGGTTTTGCAGAAGCTGCAGGAACAGGATTCCCTAAGCTTGCAAATGCACTTTGAAGTTTGACTAGGTGTGTGTTATCCTGCTCCTAGGTAGCCCTCCTCGCCCTTTTGCGCGAGTTTCGTATAATCAACTCCACGTGGGCTCCCGAACGCAGTGTTTTAGGGGGGAATGTGGACAGCTCCATTCAGCTTCCGCCGGCAACCTTGATTCTTACAGTAGCTTTGGCGACTGGAGCTCGTGCGGATTCTTTTGGCTTGGATTTGGCTTGCCTTTGCTTGTGAAGACTTCTGATGGGACCCCTGCCACATGCAGATCGAGCCCGATAGCCCAGACCTCTACATGGAAACCGAGCCCCCCACCCCACCCCGTGAATTTTGCGATGCGGATCCCAATATTTGGATTCGTGATGATTCTCGGAAAACATTGTTGCACGTGCAGCAATCAGTTGATAACTAAATGTAGTGACCTCTACGTTTTCACTCAAGCCAGGGGGCTTCACACAACTCAGTCAAAGTTGTATTGTGCGCCTCACTTAGCTGGTTGGTAGTAATGTGTGGGGTTATACCCTACTTCAGGTTATATGTTATAGAAGTAGTTAGATATCACAACCATGGATGCACTTTGAGCAACTGTTGAACCTCCAAGTAATACCCAAATTGGCTGGCTGCGGTGGCTTCCTTGCACAAGTCTTGGATACGAAAAGCGAGAGGCTCCAGCAAGCAGTGGTTGAGATGCCAGCTAGGTTTTACTTCCCTTGGCATATGCAGGGTACATCCAGTGCCTGTGTAAGGAAGTATGTTCCATGACCCTAAAAAAACCCTTCCTTCGAAAGTTGCCAGGTATTTGTCGGAGCCCGGACCCACAAGGTTTAGGGTTTGGGGATCCCACTAAATTCAGTTGAGGGTCTCCAGAAAGAGAGCCCGAATTCTGATGGCCCTCAATCTCCAATCCTGCAGATGCTGTTACCATCCCCATCACCTGCCATGGCAGGCCAAGTATCATTATACTATTATTGGTATTACTATATTATTGTTACACGTATTGCCCTATCATTACTGTTATTATTAGCACTAGAATTAATGCGGCTTGCAAAGGCGTGCCATAATTCAGAAATCTCAAAGCCTGGAACACCTGGGAGTTCCCCCTACCCTCCTTGCCCCAATATAGGATAGGCTTATGAGAACCCCTTGAAAGGGGGACCTCCAAATTTCCGAACTTCTAATCCGTAAATACTCCCACAAGCCCGCAGATTCCATTGCAGTTTCCATTTGTTTCCCCATTCTTTGGCAATAGTATCTCTAAATCCTATATCCCAGTGTTGAAGGATCGGGAGCTTGCCGACAACCGGGCGCAAATCAAGACGCTTGGGACGGACGTCGCTGAGCAGGCCACCTTGACAGTGTCCAGGGGTTTAGGGATTTGAGGGTGTAGGGATTTAGGGCGTGGGGATTCAAGGTTTAGGGCTTTAGGGTTCAGGATGTTGGGGATTTCTTCTGGCAGGATAGGGTTTTAAGGTGCGGGGTCTGGGCTCAGGAAACTGGATCAGGGTTTCGCTAAACCATAGTCACATGATATGATCATGCAGTGGTCAGATGAGCTAGTGTCAACATCGGCCCTATGAAGGGACCCTCCCCTAAAGTCCTTGCTTAGGAACTCATGTCCATTAAATTCTGTAGGAAATAGTCAGTGACTGTAGCGCATATAGAGGTCATGGGCATCCCCTAGTAAACAAGTACCTGCCCCCCAAGACAGTGCCATTATTCATCATTATTCATTATCTTGAATATTCATCTTTAGGCACGTGGGGGTGGCGGTTATCATTGGAGGGGGCGATTGCGAGCTCATTGCTTGGTAGCCTTGCTGCAGGCAGGCTCAGATGGTGTTTCGCAAACAGCAGTCCAACAAATGTGTACCAGCGGTATGTGTTTCCTAGTATAAGCAAACCCCAAGAAATACACCTGATTTTTAGAAGGCCTCCCAGTCAAGATAGACATTGTCTTGGCTTCATGCCATACCGTGCAGGCCCCAGGTGTTGTCATTTGCCATTCCATCATGAGCATCAGTTGCCACTTGGTTTCTCAGGAAGCCGCCCCCAAGCCAGCATCATGAGCATCGGTTGCCCCTTCGTTTCGCGGGAAACCTCTCCCAAGCCAGCATCATGATCATGAGTTGCTCCTTCGTTTCTCAGGAAACCGCGCAAGAGCCAGCATCATGAGCATCAGTTCCCCCTTTGGATCGCTCCCAAGCCAGCATAACGAGCACCAGTTGCCCCTTTGTTTTGCAGGAAGCTGCTCCCAAATCAGCATGATGAGCATCAGTTGGCACGTTTTTTCCTGTGCAGCGCCTCGAGTCATCAAGAAAAGACTTGTGCAGGAAGGAAGACTGGCGGGACAATCACTGCAGCACCTTGAGATCTGACATCTGGTCATCTGGTATAGGGTATACGAGAACCCGACATGAATGGTGACATGTTTGTCCTGTTGCTCTTTCGCAGGTTTGGAGCCATGATTTCAACTACTTGTCACTGTCAGGTCCAGGTAGTTCTAGATAATAAACGCAGATCTCTGTACCAGTAGACCTGCAGGCTTCGGTAGCCTGACATAGGGAACCTTTGAAATCCTGACGTAAAGGCGGCGGCACCCTTAGAGGTTCATGCATAGTTATGTGCGGGCGGTAGGTACAGTAGCTAGACAAACAACAAGTTACAAGATTATTTTGGGTGTGTGTAACCCTAAACCTTAAATATCTCTACATATCCATATTTACCCCTATATATCCCTATATAATCCTACATAACTTTATATGAGCCACCGTCAATACTCGTTTGTAAGGAGCTATGTCAGTAGCGGACATGGGAAGCAAACACGCTGTAAAGCGATGGGAACATTGAGAAGCGACACCCCAGAGTTTTCAGGCGAAAGCCCTGTA